CATCTAATGTAGGACTTCCTTGAATGGTGCTTTAATTTATTTTTGTATATGCACTAATTATGTTCTAACTGTTCTTCTTATGACTTGGATACATAAGGTCAAGTGAGGTCACAGCCTGCAAAGAGGCTGGCTAAATTATCAAAAGTCCTCTGAACAACATATTGAAAGATTACTTTTGTCTTACTTAAAGGGATTCACCTGACCTATTTAAACAAGTGACTCCACAGGAACTCCTATGTATTCAGTAGATTTTAATAGGTATGACTTTGATTCCTTGAGTGCATTCTAAATGTTGAGACTGAAAGCTGAGTGCTTTTGATACAGAGCAGTGCGAAAGCACAGAAATCAATATTCTCCATATTTTGTGAAGTATATTATCATGTTTAATAAACTTTGTTCTTAATGCTCTCTAAATTCTAATCAATGAGCATCAAGTATTCAGGGCGTTAAAGATTTTAAATTTCAGTGCTTCACAGTGCATTGTCTTTTGAGAAGTTAACAATACCTTTTAAGGAGAATTATACCCAGATTAATATACAAGAATATGTAAAACTGACCTAATTTAAAGCTCAGTGCACAAGCATACTAGTCTTATTATAAGCATGGCATACACATAAACTATCTGAAAAGGGATTTCTTATCTATGTTTTAATATTTTCACACACGTATGGTCATGAGAAATATGAGCTTTTATGTTGATATGTTTTTCTAACTTAAGTTTTTTTAAACACTTACCAACCTACAGAGTAGATTATATGTTTCATCTTCTTCAAGTCATTGTTGTTTCTCTTGCTCGATCTTTGTCCCCCAATAAAACTAAAACAAGAATTGAAAGTTACTATTACTTACCAATACCCACCCCACCACATACGAACGCATTGTGTGCCTTGGGAAAATATCGGTTTGCAATTATGTGAATAATCCTATTTGTAGGATTTTCCTATGATATCATTCTGTGGGAGTGCAGGTGTTTTAGTATGTACATTGAATTTAGACATTTTGATTATGGTACAACAAAGCTACCAGCAACCTTCAAGAAATTTTTTAATTAGAACCAACAAATGTTCAGAATTCCAATTTTATTTAGAAATAGCAGCCTGGTAATCAGTCTGCTGTCTTTTCAAAAGCACCACAAGCTTGATTAAATCATCACAACTTAGAAAGAAGTATTTTTTCCACTCCTGAAAGGCCACTTCTTTGAATGTTATCACATTTCCCAGTGGTCTAGATGTACCTTTATGCATGTCTTGCAATTGTAGGCCTAAATTGGCACCTTTACCCCCAGTTTGAATGGAAGTATAAGGAGTAAGGTACTAATCTTTTTTGCAAATATAGCACACAACATCTTCCAAAGAAAAAAAAAAACCCACAATATTTTCAGAGACATGAAACAATCTTCAACTCCGTAGGGTCTGGAAGAACATCTAGATTCACAATACTTTACTAAAGATTTCTGGAATACAGGATAAGTTGACTTTAACTCATCAAATTCTAAAGTATTTAACTGGAAAAACAAGCTGTGTGGGCCTACTGTTGGCAAGGAATTGCTATAAAAACTTCACTAGAGCTCATGAAACTTACACATTTAGTAGCAATGTAATAATCTGACATTTTACACTCCTATAAAATATATGAATGTAAGAACTTTGGTGTTTATTTGATTTATTTTGGTTTGGATTTGATATAAAGAATGGTTTCAGGATATCTGGGAGGAGAAAATTAGGACGAAGTGTGCATAGGTGGGAAAATACTGGTAGAAAAGTATTTTTGTTTATATTTAAATGGTTTATTAAAGGAAGAACTCTGTAGAACTTTCATATCTACATTGACTAGAAGTTACTCTGCAGCTTGTAACTTTATCCAACTTAATGCAAAACATACAAGTGGGGAAAAAAAAAGGAAATAAAAAAGAAATAGAACAGCCTATAATGCATAAGGATGACATTTTAAGTTCTGTAAATTTTGGAGTCAATGGGTCTAGGTTAGAATAGACTAAAAAGATTTAAATTCCATTTTTTCTATAAGGAAGTCCTTATAAAAGCATTTTATGTATCACTAGTACATGCATATCCACAAATATTAATGTTGTAAATTTTAATATTGAATATTAATGCCTGAAAATACATGTTGTAATTTACATGTTAAATTAGCTGAAATGGTATATGGTTTGTTCCCAAAAATTCAACAAAGAATAAATTTAAGGAATGATAATGTTTCTTATTATGCAGGTATTATATACCCTAGTATATAATAATGCAAGTATTTTATACATACTTTAAATATGTTGAATTTGTTACTCTAAAATTCATTCAAGCAATCAATTTTATAGATTCTAAAATGTTTTTGCTTCAGAAAACTCCTGAAATCCATAATAAATTACCACTTAGAAATGAACAGATGGGCGAATAGAAAGTATTGAAAATCTCCGCTCACTCACTTCGGCTTTTAATCATTTGTTTTCATATCCAGAGTATTGTTAATCAGAAATAGGACCATGTTTTAATGTAAAAAATGTCATAAGTAAGGTATTTTCATTTGTCCTAAATACATAAACTTATACAGTTATTAGTCTTTAAGGTAGCCGATATTTTCATACTTCTACAATCCATCCGTTAGCAAAACCTTCACTTTGACTAGAACTGCACACATTTTATCACAGGTTAAGACACCAGATGGCTCTCTTGAGTTTTCTTTGCAGAGCCTCAAGCTGTAAACAACTGCTCCGCATTTCTGAGATGTGAGTACGAAGCTATTGTTTTTGATCTCTAGAGTAAGAAACACATTTGCTCTTTGTCTATAGGCATACCGCCCGTTTTCACCTTCTTTGTTTCTTTTCTTTGCCATCACCCTAAGCATCATGTCGTTGAGAAATGTCAGTGTGTTTTGGCAAAGGCCCAATATTTGAAGGAAACTAAGGAAAAGGAAAAATAGTAGATGGTATATAGCATAGCATCCTTGGATAATATAAAGAGGTCCCTCCAGCAAAAAGGGAACGTGGAACCTATATCTTTTTGGAGAGAGATTCTCATGATAGTATTAGGTCTGTATGTATATATTCTACTCCTAAGTTCCTGTGAATATGAAAGATAGTGGGTGGTTAGCCTTTATTTCGCTCTACTCCCTCTCATTCATTCTTTTGTTTGAAGCCAGCAGCCAAGTCGAGCTGACTTTGGGCCATGTCTTGTCAGCTCCGCCGCGGTGGCACGGGATGTCCAACGCCACCCGCTGCTCGCCTCTGCTCCGCTGTCCGTGGTGCTGAAGACAGGAAGGGACCGGGGAGGGAATGGGGACGGGGACGAGACCAGGGCCGGGGCTGGGGGAGGCCCACTGGGGCGGCACTTGGAGGACAGCTTCCCTCTGGAGGGTAGCTTAAGGAAGGTAGCACCGTGTCTTGTCCACTTCTGAGAAGGAAGAAAAAGGAAAGCAGCATATAAAAATACTACAGTGAATTTTAAATTTAAAACATAACCACCTCTCTGTATAATGGCATTAGTTAAGGCAATTGTAACCGTTGTAAGGAAATTGCTGCTCTGTAAAAATTACCAGATAGAAAATCCAATGAGTCTTAGCTGAATCTCTTTAGAGACACTTTTAAATAGAATTAAAATGTATTATCGTGATCCGATTGTGCATGTTCTGTTCCTAGTTGGTCTAGTATTAATACAAAATCCCTGTATACTGGAGTTCCCACCATACACTTTTGCCCTCTGTATAAAAATAGCGCTTTGTAGATTAAAGGATTTAGGGAAAAAATGGTCAATATCAGAGATGCTGAAGCCTTTGCTGAAACAAGAATATACTCTTACATACTAGGTACTGTATTGCAAATCAATTAATTATTCTGGATGATATTACACCTCTAAGCCTGTTAAACAAACCAACAACAAAAAACCCCACCACAAACCCATCTAATAAGAAATTAGAGTATTCTGTAAACAGTATAAAAATAGATATTTATTACACAATAATTCCCTGTGCAAGCATCTGTCCTTCTTTATAGGATAACTGCATTTTTTTTTTTCCTGTGTAGCCGCTTGCTTTTCTTCTTTCCGCTGGCTAGTCACAACTTCAGGAAGTTTAACAATTAGGTTTGCAGAAAGTAAATCCGAAAATTTTTGACCCTTATTTGAAAAGGGAGAAGAGTAAAGAGAAAAAGATGAAGGGAAACAAGTGAGATATCATATTTTACATGGTAGTTACTATTTGCAGTGTCTTGTGATCTCCTCGGGGCAGATACTCCTTAGACTTCTGTGTCTAGTGAACTTGTCTGGTTCTTCTTCAAGTGCTCCAAAACAGGCTATAATTTTACGTGGTGCTGGTCATTAGTAAATCTACCTGCCGCGGCTTTTTGTGGGTGCCCTATGTTATTCCTTCGGTATTTGGGCTGACGGTCCCCTCCGCCTAGTAGATGTGCTTCTTCCTCATGGCTCTCAAACCTTCCCATGCGGCAGAAACTCTTCTCCTGCCAGACTACACCCCCAGCCCCGTCCGTTCCCGGACTGTGGGGCGCTCCTGCCCCGCTGCGGGCCGGCTGTGCGGCACGGGGGCTGCCGTGGGGCGGGGTGCCCTTGGCAGAACGCTGTGCCACCTCACCCGCCTGCCCTGCCCCCATGGCTTCCCCGGCCTGGGGACGGTGACAGGTGCCGGTGTCACCGCTGGGGGCGGCAGGGGCGGCCGGCAGGGAGCCGGTGCTGGGGAGCTGGCGAGAGGGTGCGTGCCAGGGTGCCTCGGTGGGCCGGGGCGGGCGGAGGAGAAACGCGCAGCGCCCTCCGCCCCACCCCGGGGAGGGAGCCCCCTACGAAGGCATCCGGAAACCTAACGGGGCGCAGAGGCAGCTGGAGGCGGGTGCACCGGGAACCCCCCCGGTTCCCACGAGAAAATCGCATCAGCAACACCCCGTCCCTCCGACTTTCTCCCCCTTCTTCTGTCTTTCCCTCATTCCTTCTCCACCCCCTGCACCCTCGCCGCCCCTCGCCTTGGGGAGGGCAAAAAAAGCTCCAGCGGTGCGTGCCTCTGTGTGTGTGTGTGTGTGTGTGTGTGTGTGTGTGTGTGTGCGTGTGCGTGTGTAGGGGAGGCTGGAGCGGGGTGGGACCGAGGAGCCGTGATTACAGCTCTCCCCGGAGAAGAAGATTGCTCTCTCCAGATGCTTATTTCTGAAGCACTTGGCAATCATCAGGCGGGAGCCGGGAAGAGGCGGCGGTAGCCGCCCCGACCGCGGCGATGGCAGCGGCGGGCGAGCGGGCGGCGGCGGCGCGGGGCTGAGGGGCAGCCCCAGGAGGCAGCGCTGCCAGCCGGACTCGACCCGACCCGACCCAATCCGACCCGACCGGGCGCAGCTCTGCCCCGAGCCCCGCTCGCTCCGCGCCGCCAGCCCGCCCGCCCGCAGACACCTGCCCGAGTAGGCAGTAGGTGCCCCAGCGCCGGGACACGGCGGGGGTGACGGCGGGGCACCCATGCGGTGACCCCCGGCAGCGGCAGCTCCCGCCGGCCGCAGAGTGGAGGTGCCGCTCCGCAGCCGCGCCTCGGGCCGGAGGAGGCTCCCGCTCGCCCGCCCCCGCCGCCGGGGATGGGTCCCCGCCGGGGCTGAGCGCCCCGCCGCCTCCCGCCTCTCTGCCCGGCGTGGGCGATCCGGCGAGCAGCCATGGCAGCGGCCATCGCCAGCGGCTTGATCCGCCAGAAGCGGCAGGCGAGGGAGCAGCACTGGGACCGGCCCTCGGCCAGCAGGAGGCGGAACAGCCCCAGCAAGAACCGCGGGCTCTGCAACGGCAACCTGGTGGACATCTTCTCCAAGGTCCGCATCTTCGGGCTCAAGAAGCGGCGGTTGCGGCGCCAAGGTGCGTCCTTGTGGCCGGGCCCGCCCGCGGGCTCCCGGGGTGGGGGGACGGGAGGGGACAACCTGTGGCGAGAAACTTCCCGGGTCGGGCGCCGCCCTCGGTCCTGCCGCCGGCCTCCCGGCTCCCCGAGGAGCCGCGGCCGGCGAGCCCAGCCCGCCCTGGTGCTCCGGCGTTGGTTACGACAGGTGTGCTCCGTATGGGCTGGAAGCCCTTCGGGGGAGGCGGCCGGCGCGGCGAGAGCCCTGCCCGCCCCTCCGCGTGTCCCCGTCTCTCCCGTGTTTATTTTTGAAGGACAAAGAGCTCACAGCGGGGAAAGCTCTTTGGGTTTCAGTGTCTGGGGGCCGTCGTTCACCAGCCCTTCCTTGAGCAATCTGCTTGGCTTTGGCGGGGGCAGCCTGGCCGTAGTGCAGAGGTCTCGATTAGCACTGCCCGGTAACTTCCCAGTCAGCACACTGAGAGGTGTGGGAGAGCTTCTCAACATCGGCAGTGGGTGCCCAGGTGCAGGTCCACCTGCCTGTTGCCCGTCCCCAGCCAGGGCCTCGCCATGCAGACCAACAGGTTCTGCAGGCGGTTCTTCAGGGTAGGTGACCAGTCGTCAATGGAGACAACTGAAACTGATACCGTGGTGGTTGCATTCTATCCAGTACGTTGTGTTAGAACCCTAGAAATAAAGGACTCAAATGATATTGCAATGACTTACCTATTTTTTTTGCAATTCAGTGATATTCAGCAGCATTCAGAAATGGTGATGACTTACTTTGTACTTGTCCTCAGGAAACAAGTAGTTTTAGAACAAAAGGATTATATTGTGAAGAGTGAAAATCTTAAGTATTACTTGAAATGTAGCTAATACCTACCCATCAGTGATAAAGTACAAACCACCCTTTGTTACATTAGAGAATGCCACCATGTGTTGTGGTTTGGTATATATACTACAACTCCTCTTTAGGTTTGGTCAGAAGATAATTTTATGAAGCATAATCAGGGAACTGTCCTGATTGATGCTTCCTGCCTCTTTTTCATGCCTCATACTTGAAAAATCATAAATCAACAAAATCCAGGCAATTTTATTTTTACATGGCTTTGTTACAGTAAAATTATTTATTGTAACTTGCATTAATTGCAAGTCTTGACATTTTTAGATAGTACAGTGATATAGGGAAGATGAGCAGGAACATGACAGTGGCAAAATCTATAGTGGCTTTTTTTAAGCAGTCTCTGTGTGTGCTTAAGCAGATTAGAGTATTTGCTTTATGATGGTGGACTTTTATAAGTGATACTTATTCGTGAAAATGAGTTTATGAGGTTTTGCTAACTGAGCAATTGTGCTTTACCACCTGTGCAGTCTTATTTGGGGGAAAACTCTGTGTTTGACTATATTACCATTTGAGAAGATGACTGTCTCACAGCACTGAGATGCCAAACATTTTCCTGGATAAGAAGGGGCTTTAGAGAGACTTTTGAATTCATCCTTTTTCATTTAGTAATTTTTCATAAGGTACTTGGTGACATTCTTGAACAAGAGAACTGGATTAGAATATAACTCTGCTGTTAACCTGTACCATGGATACAGAAGACTTCAGTAAGAATAATCAGAACAAGGGCTATTCAGTAAAGTTTGCAGTATCAGACCCTCGAGTTTATTTTCTCTAAGAACTCTTCATGTTGAGACATGACAATATTTATCCATTAATTTACATTAAGGTCTCAATTAGTGCTCATCCATAGGAATTCCTGATGAAAAAATACTATCATACTTTTAACTATGTATGTTCTTGATGTACAAAGTGATACATGGAGTACCTGTGGATTCAAAGTTACACGCTGTTTAAGAAGGAAACTGAAGAAATAATCAAGCTGAAGTCATTACTTAAACATTTTTTGCATAATAACTAAGAATGAAAAATCATTTGGGAAAAAAAAACAAATAAGCCACATTTTATAGGGCTGATTGCTTTAAAATATATTATAAAAGTTACAAAATTAGTGTTTATGAGTGTCTTTTTTATAAACATTTATCAGAATGTCTTTTAGATAACATTTAATTACGTTTATCTAATAAACGAACATTTATCAGAGTGTCTTTTCAGTTTTCCTAAACTGAGTTAAATGGCCTGTGAATTCTTCACTGAAATCATACTGTAAAACCCATTAAAATAAATCTTTGCCAAGCAAAATAGGATGAATTTCAAAACATCTGTTGTCAGAAAGGTGCTATGGGATCTTGACAAACATACCTCCTGTAAATGATATAGAGTGTCACAAGAGCATTGTGAAAAATGAGCTAATCGAGATGTTACAAACCATCTGTAGCATTCTCATGCAATTCAATGGAAGAGTAGAAGTATATGTAAAATGTTTGTTATGCAGAGCAGTAAAAGCTAGACTGATTTTCATGGAATAAAGAAGAGTTTTGCTTTGTGCTTACATATGAAAAGTAACTGTTTCCCCATCTTTGAAACAGACAGAGAAAACTAGTGATGCTGCTTTTTCAATCAAAAATACACATTTACTGTTGTACATATATGTGTATGTGAATTAGGTAAATAGATGTGCATAATATATGCACACATACCAACATGTTAGCAAACTTTAAAAAATATTCTTTATTTTTAAACTCTTCTTTAAAAATGCCTGTTAGTACTGTTTTAGTTCAGAGGGATTTATTCGAGAACAAATGAAGTTATTATGAATACATAAAATGATACGGTCATGTGTATGCCCTGAAGAATTTTTTTTTCTGTCGTTGTGACAAATTTTCTGTTCATGGTCCTTTGTTTAGGGGCATACTAAAATATCAACAGAAATGTGCTCTGGGAGACTAACATTTTGGAAGAGTAGCATTAAGATACATCCAGGAGCTCATTCAGGGTAAAGAGTAATGTTTCTATTTACTTATATATTCGCTCTAATGATAGATGCCATGGTAGTTTTAAACAGCATTACTAAAATGTTGATTAATGAATTAAACTAGCAAAGTGTTTTCTGTGAGAGACTTGCCTGATAATCTACTGAGTGGAAGAAACCATTTTCATTTACTGGACAGCTTTGATTCATATTGTTTAGTGTTATGATATTTTAAATTTATCTCATTTTTATTTTATTCTACCTTCATCTGATGAAGAAATCACTGTCATTAATTTCTGGATAGCCATGAAGCCAAGATCTTGCCTGATTTGATGCCAGACATCAATCAACTATGATTCATCCTCTCCTGGATTAGAGGTTGTTTAGTTATAATGGTTTAATTTATGCTAATATAATCGCAAATAGGAGAATTGACAGACAAGATTTTGTCTTCATGTGAAATAGCCTTACCTAACCTGGGGAAACGCCACTTCTTCACCTCATACACCTATAGAGAGCAGAGATTAAAACGTATGCTTCTCTCTAGAGCAAATTCAAACTTCTTAGCCTGTATTTTCATCTACATATCTAGCTGCTTTGCTAATCTGAAAAATCTTCATTTGGTTAATTAGGTCCCTTGAGAATATTCTACTGGAAAATACTCAAAATTTAAATGTATTAATGTGTGATGTTTACTGTTTCTGTGTGCTAATACCACATTAAGCCTTCTAAATTTATACATGGAGTGTATGAATTTTGGAATGACTTGGCCTCTGATTTTGTACATTAATATTTATGAGAAAGAGAGACCTAGGGAACATGTTCAGAAAATGCACTGATTAGATTTTACTGCATCTACAAAGGTAATTTAATTCTCCAAAGAAAGCATTTTTGGAAAATTCCTCAGTAATGTTTTTCAGCAGATGTGGGAGTGGCCCATAATCTCAGATGTAAGATAATTCCCACTATGCATAGTGCCCTAAGTAGTTTCGAGTTCTCCTACTTATGAAGTGTAACTGAAATGGGGATCTGTGCACATGAGTGTACATGACTTGTTTCCCAAAGCTTAAGAAACCACATCAAATCCCCACTAGTTAGCTCCAACATTGGATTATCTGGCTTCCTCAAAGTTTCAGCAGACCAAAACCTGTAGCTGTGCTTTCCTATGTGACTGTCCTCAGAATTAATCCTTTTTGGCAGTTCTCCAAAACCCACTGCTCCTGCATTGTCTAGGTGCAAGACTGCGTGTTTCTCAGGGTGTTGAACTCATATTGCTTGTTTTTGCTTCTTTTCTGCAAATGAAGTTGATTAACCCACAATCCTTTTGGAACTATAAACACAGTCTTAACTGTCTATATAAGAAATTATTAATTTTTTCCTTCACTACTGTTAACCTGCTCAAAGGACTTCTAGATCATCACAAACTAGAACTGTAAATGTAAAATATTCTAAGTGTATTTAAAGAATATTTTTGAAAACATGATTTGCAAGACTCAGTGTCAAGCTCTATTTCCCATACATTCAGTATTTCACATAAAACCTGTGCTTGCTAAGTGAAGCTTTTAAAAGAAATGGTAACATAATTTTAGGGACTATTGATTTTTAAAAATATTTCAAACAGGGGTGATACAATAGTTGGTGTTTAATATACAGGTAGTGCTGTACCAGTGTTATTTCAGAATATCTCCTATTTTAATGTAAAGCGAGTAGAAAACCTTAACTATTGTATATCTTAAAATATTCTGTTAAAAGTAGAAACCAGATTACATCTGAGAGCAGTAAGTATTTTAACCTATGTTTTCTAAATATTCTAAGTTAGTTGCAAGTTAAGATTTGGTTTAAATTTCTCAAAGACTTCACAGCTATTTTTGTTAATTTCTTGCTTGTTTGTCTAAAGTGCTGTGTTGTTTGGGCTTTTTTTTTGGTCAATTCTTTCTTCCTGATAAGCATTGTTTAACATTTATTTACCTCAAGTAGTTTGTATATCTAGAGGATATGTGAAATTGGAGAACCCTAAATTTCACTTTTCCTATACACCGACATTGCTTTTCAATATCTTCACTTAGTAATTGGAGATGTAGCTCTTTATTAGAAAATGAACTCCTCTATCTTGAGTGATCTCTAAAGTTCAGTCAAGTTCTGTCTGCATATAG